TAGCACAAGAGAGTGTAAGTCAATCACCAAGCTTTAGTGTTGCTGAGAGTGGATCGAAAGCAAAAGCTTTGATTTACCATTGTGATCATATAAAGCTTACACTTTGCAATTTTTAGTCTGATGGAGAATTATCGCAGCGACTAAGATTATAGTTTGAGTGCACCTCCACTTTATTTAGGAATTCATGCTGGTGAGAAGGCTCATAATTCTATCAATCTTACGGAAGACTTTATACGAATATTTCACTCGTAATCAATTGAATTCTTGTCATCGTAACTTGATATTGATGTCAGGTGGAAGAGATTCAGGCTTATCATATAATTCATATAATTAAAGGAAGCAAACAGTAGCTTTTCCAAATGGAGGTGTTAGAGATGTAATATTATATTTTTTTTATTTAATTTGAGATTGCACATTTCGAAGCGTTACAATATATGCAGTGGAAAAAGCGCAAATTATTGACTACATAATAATAATGTTCATAGTGCAATTGTTATAAAAATTGGCCTAGTTCCCCGAGGTTATTCCTTCACTGATATTATTCTTTAGATTTTTCAATAGCCAAGAAAATACTTTGAGAGAATACAATTAGTTTCTAATGAATATATATTCGAGAAGAATGATGATAAATAGTCCTGATGAGAAAATAGTAGAGTATGTAATGAGTTAATACAATCGGGTTCTGGGATCTCAACCTGGTTCAGGATTTGACTCTCGTGTGATAATTTTGTTGTTTCTGTCAGAATGGTAAACAAAAACATCCCAGTTAGAAATATGTAATGAATGATATAAAATCTTTTTTTTATTATTAATATATATACTAAAGTCATCAACATGCATAATTTTTAGTTATTAGTTTGAATTTGGTACCCATGATTAACTTGGAAGTGATATCAAACGTCACATCGTAAAAAGTTGATGAGGCCTTCGTATCATACTCGAAATACGGCTCTAGAAATTCAGTATGTTTAAGATTTAAACTTTATATAAATAATAAATTTTTTTATTTAACGATCATTAATGAATGGGGGCCTTCACCTGTTTTTGTTACTTTATAATAATAATAAATAGACGATTAAAATCAAAGATCACAAAAAAGAACGGTCAATTTGAATTAGAAGAAATGTCAAAATGTTATTAATTAAATATCATGTGGTTGTGTGATAATAAGAATCAAAGATAGTCTAGTATTTTTTCGCAAATATAATAATATTAGTATTAGTATCACATTTCCTTGGATTGATAACGAAATAAAGATATTTCTTTTAGATATAATTGTTACAAAACAAAAACAAAACTAATTGTAAAATAATCAGGATCAAAGATTCTACAATCACGGGGAGGGAAACATAATGAATAATCGCCATCATTAAAAATAAAATTTTTATGGTAAAAAGAAAAAGTTGTTATTTTTAAAAAAATTTTTTTTTGTTATTGCTATCATTATTTTCTATTTACAAATATATACATATATATAAAAAATACATATATATAAGGTTTTTTACACCATCACCTTCATCGTTTTAAATGTAATCTAAACTATAAAAGCTACAAGTATCAGATGAAACTAATTATCCTTTTTCTTATTATTAGGATAATAATAAAAAAGCATTTATATATTTTATTTTTTTAATTAAAAAAAAAAGGGAAACTTGTATAATGTTTACAACAAAAAATAGACGCAAAAATTAATTAATTGAATAAAATAATAGTTTAAATTTAAAAAAAAATCAATTGAAGGAAAGTTAAAAGGGTATGTATATATAAATAAATTCTAAATTACTTCTTGATCCTATTAATTATTATCATTAGTTATTATTAATTATTATTAATTAAAATATTAAATAATTAAAGGAAAAAATATTAAAATTGAAATCCTAAGATGATAGATAATAATCATAATAATCATAATGACAATAAATTTCTCTTGTTATATAATAAAAAATTATCTTTGACTGACCATGAAAAAATTTTTTAATGTCTAATTATTATATTCGCCAAAAACTTATTTACAAATAAGGCAAGAAAAAAAAATCTGAATGTTCGTTTTTGTTTTAATATCTAATCAATATGTATACATTTATGATTTAGATTTAGATTTATTAGTTTCAGATTTTATTGATGTTGTGCTATTGTTGGATAAAAGTGCTAATTTAGCCTTTAATTCTTCAACTTCTTTAGCCAATCGAACATTTTCATCAATTTTCATGGCGCTTAAATTAGCTTTAGCTTTTAATTCTTCAAGTTCTTTACGTAGTTTAACATTTTCTTCTTCAAGATGTGTAGCCTTTTCCTCAAGATCAGCAACATAAGCTTTTTTTTTACGTCTACATTCTTTGGCTGCAATACGATTACGATAAAGTCTACGCTGTCGTCTTTCATCGTTTGTAAGATTACGAGTATTATTGTTACTACTGCTGCTACTACTATTACTACTGGCTTTTTTACCACTTCCACCACCACCAGATGAAGGAGGAGAATTACTATTATTAATAACAAGAAGATCTGATGCAGTTGGCTGTTGTGATGTAGTTGGTGATGGTGTATCTGATGTTGCAATAGTAGTACTATTATTAGTATTAGAAACTACCACATTATTTAAAATATCCTCCATACTTGTAAAAGGAAAGAATTAAAAAATGCCAAAAATAAAAACTAGGTGGATGAACAACAATAATGTTACTTTTAGTATTATGAGGTTAGATTTATTATTATTTATGCAATTTAAAGTTATGATATATATGACATAATTTATATCATTTTTCACCAAATTTAGAATAGAAAGAATGGTGCTTATTGTTGGTTGACAGAAATTTGTGGATCAATGCGTTACACGCAATTTTTTTTTTTCAACATGCCTGATTTTTTATATAGTAATAGAACCAAAGTAGAAGAAAGTTTTATCAATAGCTTAATAAAAATGATAAGTAGAAATATATGACCTATATAACTTACTATTTTACATAAATTAATAAGAACTCTTTCTTTTATTATTTAGTTGGAGGAACCTTTGCTAATTATACTTTTCTAGTATACTAGAAAATTTTTGGTCACCCTTGTTCGAGAAATTGGTATTTAGAAAACTTCTTGAACATGAGTCTTTGACAGATAGTCCAGAAAAGTTTACAAGATCGTGAACAATTTTCATGAAAATGTCATTGATGGTATAGTACATGGTATAAAAATTTATTTCTCTACGTTCAACAATCCTAATCTCTATCAAGACAAAGAAGAAAGAGATCAGTAAATTTGTTTTAAAAGTGATTTATTGCTCCATGGTAATCCACCAGCCGAAGGTAATAACAGAGCAGCATTTTACGAGGTCATATTTAAACAAAATTATGCAAGAGGTGAATTGCAATTATGAACAAAATGGTAGCGTAAGTAACAATTTTAGTAACTAGAAGGAATATCAACAACTTTCTTAAAAGTATTTGTATATTTTTGAAGAAACGTATGTAAATCAACATTTTCCAAAACAACCATTATTAATAAAGTACAATATGCATCATTATCTATTGCATTACATAAATTTGTTTTTTTTGATGTATGCAGGGAATTGAATATACTATTTTAAGATATTTATCCAAATAATTATGGAATCAGTCTTGGAAAAGAAATAATAACGAAGATCTACTTGTTTATTGGTATGTAGATAGGTTACTATTACATCTGAAAATCACAGTTTGACACGCGCTGTGATTGGTTGATTAGAAACAATGCCTCCGGATTTAATAGCATATGTCCCGAATTTGGTGATTCAATAATTTTTTAGGTTTGACCAGCTGCGGCAGTAACCTATCTATAGCTTGCGGATAAACTATTATTATCGGTTGATCGATGAAAAACAAAGAATTAAGCAACAGAGTACATACAGCCTGGATCCCAAAATGAATTCAAGGCAAAAAAACCCCCGAATTAATTAAAAAGTCGACATGCAGTCCCAACTAAATGGGTAAAAGCCAAAAAACAAAACCAAACCAATAAAGTCAGAGAACTGAATATAAAGCAAAAGAATAATCACAGCATTGATTTGTACTTTTGGGGAAAAATATTGAAGTATTAAAAAATTATGAATAAAAATCAGCCTTATAAATTTTTATAATTGCGAAAAAATAGTGAATATTATTCTCCAATTAACCTAGAGTTAAATAAAGCTCCTTATTAATTAGACAAATTAAATCAATCCATCCATATAAATTATGAATGCTAAAGGCAAAAGATTTTTATACTTGGCACTACCAATTATAACATTCGAAGAAGCGGTAGAAGATCGATTTGATCAATCAGATCTTTCAATTCTCAAATATCCCAATTAAATGTTATAATAATATGGGGCATACTGCAACAAAACCAGATAAAGCGAACATTTGTAATACTAAGAACATCAGGGATAGAAGAAGTTGGAACCGTATTCGATATTCGTATTTAAATCGGAATCCAAAGTTTTAATGCGGAGACCGGATGTATTTATTCGATCAGTCCGGATATGTTTCGTAACAAATTTTCATAAAAAAAATATAAATGTAAACATGGCGGGATGATGATGATGCGGAAGGTGAATGGATACTTTTCCTATATAAATTAAATAAAAATAAAAGTTAAGCTAGCCACTATTTTTAATTAATTAATTAGAGTGACAAGTTGCAATGATCACAACCACCACCATTCTTTTAATAAAAAATGGTCATTGCAAATTTTTTCAAGGAAAGTAGCAAAGTTTAAAGATTATATAATAGACGGAATATTCATTAAAATAAATAGCTCAATATTAAAACTTTTTCGTTGGGGTTTCGATCCCATGAAATAAAAACTATTTAAACTTTATTTTTTTGGTTAATCAAACCGTCCCTGGATTAATATTGTTGAAAAATACAGAAAGAACTATTATTATCATCAGTCAAAAAAATTTTCTTATAAATGCCTGCTTATTTCAACCAAATTCAGACTCTTCCCAATTTTAAACCCTCAAAAAAATAAAATCAAATTTTTAATTTTAAATGAAACCATCATCATCTTCAACAAATAACGCGACTGAAATTTCTGAAAACAGTGTTGTCAAAATCGCCAGTCCAATCGTTTTATTGGACTTATTGGACTTGACTAGACTTTATTTGGACTTTGTCATACAAAATAAAAAAACTTGTCATAATCATTTGTTGTTGAATTGTAAATTTTTTTGAATTAACTTCTCAAGTGGTGAGGAGTGGTTAAGTTGGTTCAATGATACTGATACAGAAACTACAATTGAAAATGAATTTTATAATGATGATAAAGGTTCTATTAATACGTCATCTAAAGAAATAAATAATGTACAAAATTTTTCTACTCTAAATAAAAAAATACCCTTGGGTATGAATTTTAGTGTATTGCATATTTAAAATTTTTTGCTACATCCGAACCTCGTTACAACGGCTTTTATTATAACGGATTTTCGTCATACTAATACTGATCTTGTTCCCGTTTTTTTTTTATTAATATTACGAATTTATATAATGGACCTTGTTCGGTAATAGTAAGAACTTCAATTAAAAATTTCTATATGGTTCAAGTCACTTGCTTAGTCGCAGAACTTTTTGCTATTACTATCCTTCAATTCTCCAAAATGAAAATATAAAATAGTAGTAGTTTGATATAGTATTGAAAATGATCATGCATTTAAGTATTTAAACTATAACTTTTTCTTTTGAATATTAACTTCTCTTAATAAATGATTATAATAAAACCATTGTTGATTGGTAAAGTTATCCTTGTTTGATTAATTAATTATTGAATTAAACCATTGATTCCGGACTATATTATAATTATTCTACCATCGCAGGGACACAATCCGACATTATCAAAGTCATCATATTCTAATTCACAAAAATTTTGATTAAATCTAAGGTGATTGACTGTCCATTCGATGTTAAAATAGGCACCAAATGATCTAATAATTGTTGAATAGGCCTTTCAGCTTATTTTTTAAAAGATCAATTATAGTTGCATCCAACTTATTTTCGATTTTTTGGAATTCCAAAACAGTTGTGAAACTTGCATAATCTTTAGGCGTTAAATCTATCTTGTTGAAGAACATGTCAGAAAACGGACCAATAAACTAAAAAGTAATATGGAAATTAATTATAAATTCTGTTTTTGTCGCAAATAAATTCCAAGTCATGTGCCTACTAATTTATTATTGGTCCAAATTATTTATAGATCTAAAAAACATTCTTTTTAAAAATTCATTTTTAATCTCAAGAAAATGGCGACGATCGAAGAAATTAGAGAGAAATCAAAAATGGCAGAGGAGGAGCATGGAAAGGCAATGGAGGAGTTGAAGGAGTTCATGGAAGGGGAGTACGACGGCTTGTTGTTGAAAAATTTGAGGAGAGAGAGAAACAATCTTAGTGAAGAGGACAAGGAGGAGAAGAGAAAACTGGAGGAAGAAGAGAAGAGGTTGAAGAAGAATTTAGACGATAGGAAGAAGCAGGTGGAGAAATTGCAGGATGCGTTGGTAGAATTTGGTGGAGGGAAAGGTAACAAACAAATTGCATTAAAAAAAAAAAAATATTGTTTATTTATTTTTGTAACTTTGATTTATTTTTTTTCCTTCAATAACTCAATTTCAATTCTTTGTTGAATCATTTATTTAATTCTTTTTCATTATTTAGTTGGTGAAGGCAAATACTTTATATACCAGATATGGTGTTAATTTGTTTGTCTCTATATATTCCTTTTATATCAATTTATCTGACTTAATAATCTCTCCTTCGCAAAAGCCTCTCAAAAATATATCATTACTCCTGAATTTATTTTGTCTTGGATTCAAAAATATAGAAGACCAACTAATGAAGTTCCTCCAAAGGTAAATTAATGAAACATTGCTATTGATATCCTAATTTTTTATTTACCATGTTTTGTGTTTCTACTGTTACAGCTTATAGTCACATATGGAAAAGATTTCAAGTTTCTTGGGAGAGAAGAAACAGCAGAACAGCTTTGGAATGGAACTTTAAATAAAAATGGTGTTAAAAAACGTTATTATGCACACCAGAATAAAATTAAGGATTGTAATTTTCATCCAATTCCATTCATTGCAGCAGGATGGACCACATGTTAGAAATTGGACAAGGATTGCAATTTCCAGTTGAAACAAACAGTCATTTTCATTGATGCCTTGGTGATATTGGTGGTCATTGTTGAGCATTAGAATTCTTTTATCAACAATGCTCTGAATATGCAGTTAATACTGTTGATTTTTTACAGGTTATGACTGATGTTTGTGTATTATTATTAAATGAACATTATGAACTTGAGGAATTCACTCATGATAATTCTGATATTATTGCTGGTTGTCTGCTGGATGAAATGATGATTCTTGATGAAAGAATAAAGGAGCTAAAGCAATATGGAATTGTAGTTTTAGAGGAGGCTCATAATTATCCTGGACATGTATATTTGCATTTGCCATATATCATGATTTGGTGCATAGCTAGAGTATCAAACAAGTCAAATAAATTGTACCAATTCTGGAAACCAATGATTGAATCTGATGAATTATTTCTATGGCAAAACTGGGAGGATTTTAATGTTAGATTTTTGGCATTAAAGTTTTGCTTGCTCTCTGTTTATGGTTATAAAGAAATTAAAGCATGTGACTTTTTAAAAAATGCATATTGTGGTGATATTATTAAAAACATTACCATAAAGATTCCAGATTGGAAAGATGTTGAGGTTTGTTTCATAAAAGAAAGATTTCCAGTGAATGGTTCTTGGACAGTCATAGATATGTATTCCAATGAGAAGCTTTTCATAAAAGAAAAAAAACTTACAGTTTATAAAAATGGAGAATCAGCACCATTTGATGGGTTTAGTTATATTCAACTTAAAACTACCAATAACAAAGATGCAATTATGGCTTGTTTACAGACTAAATGGAGAAAATTAGAAACTGTACAACCTCAGAAGATTACAGCTAATATGATTACCAAAGAATATGAATCTACAAAAAAGACACTTATTGATAAGCTTAACCTTCAAGATAATGATTTTATTTTTATTTTATTATCAATATGTCCACTGAGTGAAGAAATTGATCTTGGGACTATGTCTAAAGATGTTAAAAATGCTGCTTTAATATGCAAGAACAATTTTTGTGACTTTTATGGTTTTACTTATGCTACATGAGCTCAATTTGCAGCAGGTTGGTTAACCAAAAAGATTCTTTTTGACTTTTCTTTCAAATGCATGGTTAATAATTTATTTAATTTATACTGATAATAGCACAGGAAAAAGTTAATGTTAATACAGCTAAATTTTGGGAATTAAGATTAATAAATGGAGTTGGTGAAATTTTGGCAAATGATATTGTTGAAAAATGTAAAAGAGATCATTTTGTTGATGAAGATGATTTATGTAGATGCACAAAGTTTCCAAAACATGCTGTGTCATTGGTTAAATTTAAATGATTTTTTATTATTTCTGTTACAGAAATTAAAAGGATAAAATTACTACTAGATTCACAAAATAAATAAATATTGTTTAATGAATGTTTGTATTTGGAAATAAAGAATTTAAAAAATATATAGATTCTTCCAGAGAAAACAACATTCTGATCAATTGAAAATGCATGCATAATGTTAAATGATTCAACAAAATAAAAAGTAAATAATAAAATTTTTGCAAACTTTGTTCTATTGCAATTGTAGTTTTATCTTCTATCATTAAATTCCTAGACTTTGTACTATTCCAAAATGTTTTTTACATGATGGACAATAAAGATGTTAGCCGAAATTGCCTCTCTTAATAAATGATCCGAAATAGTCGCTGAAATTAATTTTATTAATTGCCGAAATTATATTCGAAATTATTTGAAACACTTTAGCTCAATAGCCGAAATTCTGGGTAGTTTTTTTATGTCTATCGTTACGAAAAATATTGTGATTTTTTCAAAAATCATTTCGGCTAACATCTTTAATGGACAAAATTTGCCATTAGATAAGCATAAGTCTCATTTTCTTCATATTATATACCAACAAAAATATTATGCACAACTAACAAAATAATGATTCCATGTACATATACAGTCTCAAATGGCAGACATTCAGTAGTAGCAGATGCAACAAAATCATCAGGTAGCAGGTGAGCTGTTCGTGGGAAGGACATCATGCAAATCATCTATAGCGAAATTGAGTGGTCTTGTCCTGGTCTATTTTGTACCTTATATGCGGAATTAAAACATATCTTTTCAGTATTATTATTTTACTAATTCCGTATACATTACATTGATAAATTTCAAAACTTAGATTAAATACATCCATTCCATACCTAAAAATTCTGTATCAAATATAATAATAAGGAAACTCTTATACATTTCATATGTTTATTTTCTATGGGATATCCTTTCATTTGATTTTGATTGCCTGAAGGTTGATAAAGATGAGTAAATACAGAAGATTAAATCTTTTACACCAAAACGGGCTAAAAATATCATTAATTAATAATTATTAACGAATGAATTAATTGAAAAAAAAATTGATGTAAACACACGTACTATTACAATGGGATTATACTACGCCTTAACAAAAACTAATTTTAGAAAATCTGATGCAAATCATTCAAACACATTTTTTATATAGGATTATTTAAGTTTCATTTTTTTTTCCAACATACATAACATATTAAAATATTTATTTATAGAGGGTATTTCGATTTGTATTAATTATTAATTATTATCATATTTAACACTTTTATTGGAACATAACTTTATTTCTTTTCATTCCCCATTTATATTGACATGTAAAAATTTGCTTTTTTGAATTATAATAAACACCTATTTGATTTATTTATTTTTTGCTTCTTATGTTGTTAAAAATAAACATTATCGTTTGCATGAGAACACCTTATGCAACGTAAAAGTTATAATAACCAATAAAAATAAAAGATAAAAGATAAAAAGTAAAAAGTAAAAAGAAGAGTACAATTTATAATATTACACCCAAAGAGCTAAAGAGCAAATACGGCCTTATTTACTATTTAAAATAAAATAAAAATCAACCAACGGTTAATATTTTTTTCAAAATAATGATATTGACTTGAATAATATAGTGTAATGATGAAGAAAATACTTGCCCACTATGTAATTTTTTAAAATAAACAAAAATCAACAGTTAATATTTTTTTCAAAAACAATGATATTGACTGTATTAATAAATAAATGATGAAAAATACTTACAGCCTATTTATTATTTAAATAAAAACAATCAACGGTTAATATTTTTTCAAAAACAATGATATTGACTGTAATAATAAATAAATGATGAAAATACTTACTCCCTATCCATTATTTAAAATAAAGTAAAAATTAGCAGTTAGTATGTTTTCAAAAAACAATGATATTGGCTTTAATAATAGTAATGATGAAAATACTTACGAACTATTCATTATTTAAAATAAAATGAGAAACAAATCAACAGTTAAATATGTTTTCAAAAACAATGATAATAGTAATGATGAAAAATACTTACAGGCTATTCATTATTTAAAATAAAGTAAAAATTAACAGTTAGTATGTTTTCAAAAACGATGATATTGGCTTTAATAATAGTAATGATGAAAATACTTACATGCTATTCATTATTTAAAATAAAATGAGAAACAACCAACAGTTAATATGTTTTCAAAAACAATTTACTGTAATGATAGTGTAATGATGAAAATACTTACGGCCTATTCATTATTTAAAATAAAGTAAAAATCAACAGTTAATAATTTTTTCAAAAACAATGATATTGACTGTAATGAT